CTTCAAGACTTGGATAAATCTCGAATTTGTGGGATTTTAGTAAGATATCACAACATTTCACACACCAAAACATGTAAAACATACACATGCAAACAAATATACAAAGATTACACAAGACTTTGACTTTTATTCTCCCCCAAAACAAAGAAAAACTCGATAACAAGGGGGTATGAAGCTCACCTTAGGCTTTTTCGGTTTTGGAGAGTAAGAGGAAGGAGGTTTTTGGCCCTAGCTTGCTTCTTTGATGAGATCTTCGAAACTAAGAGAGTTTTAGGAAGAAAAACACGAAATGGTGTTGTGTAAGGGGTGATCTTAACATAAATTGAAAACAAAACAACTTGAGTTTGATAACAACTTACCAAGCTTATGGTTAGTAAATAAAACTGCTTAGAAGAACACACCTAACCCCCATGAAATTTTAGGAGGAAAATGTGAGAGTTCCTTAAGAAAATAAGAGAGTTTGAGAGCAAATGAAGTGAGTGGGTGAGTGTTTGAATGAATTATGGTGTGGATAAAGGGGCTTTGGCCGATTTTTAGAGAGGAGAGAAGAGAGAGAGAGAGAGATTAGAGGGTTAATAATTATTGGTTAACACATGTTGCCTAGATGTATGTAATGCAATTACTTGGTTGTATGTGATACAAAAGTGAGGTGTCACATTTACATTAATCTATTTCTTTTTTTTTTAATAAAATTCGATCGGCCCAAAATGGAGAGGGAAGATGGGCTCGATTTCTCAAGGATGGCCGAACACATTGAGCCCATTGACGTTTTCGGTTAGCTCGAGTTTTTGGGCTAAGTTCAGGCCCGAAGAAGGTTTTGGCCCAATGGTGGGTCCAAAAGAAATGGATTTGGCCCAAAGAGATAAAGTGGAAAGGTTTTCGGCCCAATAGGGCCCATTAGGAGGTCTTGGCTCAATAAAATCTCCAATAGCAAATTGCGGCCCATTATGGTTTAAGAAAGGTGTTCACGATCCAATAAGGCCCAATAAGGCTCCTATGGCCCGAAACAGTGTTGAATAATTATTTTCGGCCCAACTATGGGCCAAATATGGGTTCTCGGCCCATATAGAGGTCAACTAGGGCTTTTGGTCCTAGAAAGGGGCCCAATAAGAAAGTCTTGGTCCATTAGGAGGTTTGGACTGAGAAGACTTGGGTTAAGGCCCAAAGTTGGATGAACTTAGCTTATTAGGTTAGGTTTTGGGCTTACACGAGGAGGTTTCGATGTGAATCACGACTTTTAGATGAATCAAATTAGATAACATTGAAATTAATTTATACTACATGTAGTGTCACTTAGTTACATAAAGGAACTATTTGCACATGGATAGAAATTTCTAGCCCTAAAATGCTAGTTGTGACATAGGCACATAATACAGGCAAACAACAATCATACAACTCACTACTGCCTACTAATCCTCTCACAACATACAGTCCCGCTACCAGCTAAGCCCCATAGAATGCATAACCAAAAGTAACCAAATGTGAGATAGCCACCCGAACATATGGTCTTACTCTAGAGCCACAACCAAACAAGGAACAGGCAAGAGAGCTTAGACCAAGATTTCTCAGGCTATCCTACATGACCAATGACAGTCCCTAAGGGCACTCCATAGATGATGACCAACAAGCATAGATAACATATAGTTCTACAGATTATTACCACAAAGCAACATACTCAATACTAGAAGACAGATCTAACAGATCACTACAGTATAGCAACATATTCGATACCAGAACACAAATCTAACAGATCACTATAGCATAGCAGCATACTCGATAACAGAACACAGATCTAACAGATCACTACAGCATAGTAGCATACTCAATATCAACCATCCAAGGAATGCATGGTCGTATATACTCAGAGGTGAGATAGTCACCCAGACAGGTGATCCCACTCTAGAACGACAACTAAACGAGGAACATGTAAAAGAGATTGGATGAAGAGTCCTGAGTCTATCCTACATGACGATACATAGTCCCTAAGGTATCCCTCCACTAACAGATAACCAAAGCTAGTGGGTCGGCATTGGTGTCTTCGACGCATGAGAATAGTGAGGCGAAACTCACCTCGATGTGCGCGTAGATAACCACTATAGCAATGAAGGACTCTACCAACTTCAGCTCACTTCCAATCACCTGCAGGAAGATACTTGATTCAATACCCGATCACAGGTCATAGTCACTTGCAACAGTGACCACCTCACATGAAATGACGATTAAGGTTTCACATAAAATGACGATTAGGGTTAAGTAAGAACACTTAACCCTTTAAGGACTTAATCACTTAAGGGTATGTCACACCCCCGAACCGGGACGGCGGAAACGTCCGGGGGCGAATGACTTCATGTACGGTATCATAACAATTGAATATGAATGAAACATAGCAACCAAACATCATACATTGGAAATACACACTTACATAGTTTACATATTGAACTTGTTCATCAGTTACACAAAAGTAAGAAAAGTAAAATTTCTTGAAGTCGTACCACTTGATCTCATAGCCGAGCTTATTACCTGCTATTGGATCCCTGAGAATACAAGTCGTTTTGAAAAGCGTCAACTAAAAAGTTGGTGAGTTCATAAGAATTTTTATATAAAATGGTTTTGTACTTGTTTAGAGTAGTTCTCATAGTGTGTTCAGAAAATTCGATATTTTCTATAAAATAATTTGTAAGTCTCGTTCTAAAACTGTGAATATATGCATGCCTGTCCTAGGTTATCTTTTGTTTGCAAAAGTAAAGCGAACGTTCCCAGAAAATCCGATATTTTATAAAAAGAAATGGTTTGAAATATTTGTGTCTGATCTTATATTAATGCATATGTGTTAATGTTTGCGAGAAATAGAAAGAGAATGATCCTAGACAACCCGATGTTACATGCATGGAGAAAAACTAAGCACCAAGACTACATTTTTATGACTTAAGACCCCTCGTAAGGTCTGAAAGGATGACTTATTTGGTCAAGAGCATGTCATGATCAAGACTCACCATATTTGGGACCAAAAGTGCCCTAAATGAAGAAATGGATAGATCTACAAGATAGGGTGATCAAGTTATGAACGTTTTACCTCCTGGAGGTTGCTAACAAGGAGATAACCTCAGATCCAAGTTGCTTCCAAGCTCCAAGTTCTTCTCACCACCTTCTTCTTCTTCAAGAATGCCACAAAACACAAAGATAAGCTCAAGATGCACTCTTCTCACTTAGGGTTAGCTTGGGGGTTGTTTTTCTCAGATGGAGGCTGGTGAGGGAAGGAGAAATGAGAGATAATGATGCTTATATATGGGCAAAACCCTAAAAATTAGGGTTTGAAGGTTAAGCACGTACGCCCTGCGTATGCGGTGTACGTCCAACGTACTAGGGTCCACCCTAGTACGCCTACCGTACACAACGTACGCTCAACGTACTAATCATTGGCCAAACTTACCAAAATGCCACTATGGGCCATTTCACACTCTTTCTTATACCCAATGACTAAAATGCAATATTTATTCATACATAGGGTTAAAATTGAAAATACCTCAACAACGGGATGTTACAGTGATTGGTTGATACCATTCCCTGGGCTTATGGCGGAGTGTCATTTGTATCCTTAGTGAATAGGTTGAATCTCTACTGGTTTTACTTTTAATCTCTGTTTGAGAACTCTGTGAATAAATAATACTTCTCTCCTATCCGTAGACGTAGGTCGCCTTGACCGAACCACGTTAATACAATGTGTTTGTGTACTTTTGGTTTTGTTTGTTATCCGCATTACTTTCTGACAAGGGTAATCAGAACTTGACAAGTGACATCAAATATGTTCTGAGTCTTGACAAGCATCGTCTAATTTTTCTAACACTTTTAAAATTGGATTTTAGAAGTTTTAGATATCTCAACCTTTGTCAAAGAAAAGGAGTTAGCATATGTAAATCATATTCATTGGGTCTTACTACATATGTTGACGTTGAATGAGGAATGCATACAAATTCCAAAACATGTGTGACTGGGTTTTCCTTTTTTTCTAGGAAATTCTTTAATTTTTGGAAAAACACAAAACTGACAAAAGTTTCCATGTCATCAACAAAGTCTTAATATAAATGTCTTGCATCAAGTACATGCAAAATTCTATAGGTCTTGAAACTTTTATTTGCTATAGGAATTGATAGTTTGAGATATATTAATATTTAATAAGTCCACCATTCTTCTTGAAGTAGTGTTAAAATTGTTAAAACTGATTCATCATCTTAAATAACATATATTTTTATGAAATATTTAATTTCATTTCGGCATGAATTCTTTCTGGAAAAACTGAATTTAGTTTAATACCTTCCATTGCTAAGATTGAGGGAGGATGTTAATAAAGGTAAATGTATCAAGATTGTTTGACTTGGTATGTTTGGTGCATGCAGTTGACCAATGTCAAGGATAGCTTGTTTTAAGGAATAAAAGCTTACAGACTGATTGGATAAATTGAAGAAGTTGGAGGGTTGAGTTGTTGATTGAAGGAGTGAAAGGGTTGATGATGGATACGTGGAAAGAAGAAAAATACAAATACCATAGATAATTGAGAATTTTCATTTCTCACAGTATTATCACCAAACACGTACCTTTATCAAATTCCTTAATTATAAGTGTTCAAAAAAATCATATGAACCATAAATGTTGATTTCTCAGGGAATGGTCAATTTAGATGGGAAATGGTGGGATGGTATTAGGATGAATCTCCCTCTAAAATCTCTAACAGAAATCAGAAATGTTTGGTATTAGTAATGAATTATCTTCATAAATATGAAACAAATATATATGGGATTAAAGCACAAAATTGAAAATGTTTTTAGAGTTGCATTAATTAGGGTTCTTTTAAATCCAAATGGTATAAATGAAGTATATGCAAAACTCAAGATAAATGAAATTTTTAATTAGGATACATACAAAACAATCAATATCATATGAAACAATAATCAAATAAAATATCTTTTTAATTTATCAAACTATTTCAACTTCACAATTGAAAACCTCGTTTGATCATTTATCATTACCATAATTTTGTTCCTTCCATGAAACTAGTGATTTAAGGAAGTCTTTGACTTCCAAAGTGTCACGAAGTGATAAAAAAGCTTTGCTTTGTTTGGGTACCGAAGATACCAAAATCCCATAACCACGTTTTCCTTCTCTTAAAACCTAACAAAAAAAAAAAGAACTTACTCAACAACTTAATAACACACTATTTAAAAAAATAATAAATAAATAAAAATTGAGTCATACCTTAAATGCATCTTCATCTGTTCTATCGTCTCCAATATAAATTGCAAGCATTTCGTCACTATTGCTTAGCCCTATTAATTCCATAATAAAATACAAAAGAAATAATAATAATAATAATAATAAATAAATAAATATCATCTTACTTCACATTTCTTAATTTATTTTATAAAAAGTAGGGTATTTTTTATGATTTGTTTTATAAAAAAAATAAAAAAATAGGACATACCAAGTGATTGAAGTAGAAACTCGACTGCTTTCCCTTTGTCCCAATCAATAACGGGACGGACCTCTAAAACCTACGTATAATTTATAAATAAAGTTTTTATATTTTATAAAAGCATAAAGTAAAAATAATCACATGACCATTATTGAAAATGTGTTATATTTATATATAAAAGAATTGGTTTTATTACTTACCTTCCGACCATGAGTTAATCTCAAACGAGGATAATCTTTCAAGACATCATGCACACGTTGTGCAATCATCGGCCAACTCTGCAACACCATAAAAAGTATAATTCTGTCGCTAACTTTTATGAAATAACAAGTGTTTTATAAAAAAATGGAAAAACCTGTGATTAGTTTTATAAAATTCCATCGCTAAATTTGAGAAAAAAAAAACCAAACGATTTCAGTTCTTTTGGTAATTGTTTTATAAAGAATTGGTGGTTGATTTTATAAAAAAAATTTGGAGGGTTTTCAATTCATACACTAGTTTTTAAAATATAGCAATGGATTTCAGTTCGTCTGGTAAATTGTTTTATAAAAAAAAATGTTGTTATTTTTGAATAAATTTCCGATGGATTCCAATTCGGTTGCTAATTTTGAAAAATAGCGACCGATTTTTATTCCATTGCTAATTATTTTAAAAAATCCGTTGCTAAATCCACTCATTTGTTAAAACTTAAAAGTAACGTGTTAATTTCTTACCTTCTCATCTACATTACGGTAATGTACAGAAGTACAAAATTTGTGATTTTCCACAAATGCCCCTCGGATATCCTTTGTCACGTCAACAAGGGTCCTAAAAACCTCATTGATCATTGGTATAAACTCTCTAGCAGGCTGGAATAAATTTACTTCCTTGTCCTTCACAAGAAAACATAAGGATTGATATCCTCAAGGGGAATTAAAATAAAAAACTGTAAGGGTATTTTGGTCATATATAATACCTGTTTGTCAGTAGATCGAATATAGTTTGTATGGTTGATAGACATTGGGAACATGATGTCCATACCATGACTACCAGCATAAAAGAGTTCTGTTAGTCCTACTAACTCATAAACCTGAACAAAACATGTTTAATATTAAAAAAAATTCATTATTTTAATGAGGTTTTATTATGTTAAACTTTTTTTTAGTGAAATGAACAATTTCATTTCTTCTATGATTCCAATCCCATCATACGGAACCCTACTTTAGACTTGTGATACCTTATCGCGGCTTCTTCCACTAATAATCGCTGTTGGAAAATACTTTGCAATGCCCTTCACAGCAGCACGCATCTAAAAGAAGAAAGTGTGTTAGACATTTATACAAGTTATAAAAGAAAAGAATTGGAGAATTTGAAGTTACTACTTACATCGATTGACATAAAAGCACGATTGGGATCATCTACAATTGGTGAGAGTGTCCCATCATAATCTAAGAAGATTACTATCTTTTTGTTATTTGCACGATTTATAATATGATCAAAAGATTTGAGGGCCGATGGATACTTGAGCTTCGAGTAACAAAAAGAACAAAGTAGCAAATTAATAAAGGGGTACATATGCAAATACCGTCACAAATAACATCAAATATACTTTTTTCTTTACTTCAAACAACCCATATAGTTGGAATGAAAATTAATCATTCTCGTAAATTAATATAGTGCTTTTTGGCATTTCCACAAGAATATAAATAATGACAAGTTTGTAACCAAAAAGTGCATGCATACCTTCCAAGAATAATAGATAAGATCATTCTCATCAGAAGCAAGCTCATCTTCAACATCTTTCACCATCCTTTTACAAGGAGGTGAAGATGATCGCATGGCATCAAGCCAACCGTTGGATCGAACATCATCAACTTTCCCAGGCTTTTTCTTTGGAATTAAAAGCGGGAATACACTGGAATGGAATCCTAATCTCGTCTGATTCATAGGGAGTAGAGGATCGGCAAGAACAGGAGAAGCATTTGCTGAGCTTAAATCCATTTTATGATCAGAAGACAATTTTTGAGATTTATGCTACAAAGTTTGAGGGTTTGATATGAAGAACTGTGAATCACTCTTTTTACCCGACCCTTTTGTCAATAAAAAACCACCTTTTTAATGTTTTCTTGTCACTATTGCTGAGTGAGTAGTCCATTGTAAACACGCTAGTTTCTGAAATGATCTGAAATACAACATTCATGGAGTTAATGATGACTAAATCTTTCTGCTTAATTTCATAAAATATGATTACCAAAAGTGACATACCTCATTCTCAAAGCTATGCATTTACAGAATGTGCTCAAACACCATATTCAAGATCTCAAGTTTTGACTGCATATTACCAAAAAAGGAAAAAAAAAAACATGTTGTTTAGATGATTACTCACCACTTTACGAAATAGATGCAATCTTTTTTACCTCAAGAAAGTCTCAAGAACTAAACACAAAGTCAAGGATTCCAAAAAACATGGATCAGAGTTCATACACATGTTATAGAAACAAGATCTTTAACTGTTTCTATAATATATATACCACTCAATAGTTATCTGATACAATGTCTTCACACTAGTCACATGGACATGCATGCCCCCCATAAAGTAGTAAAGGTGTAGTTTCTTTCATGGATCTACTGTTTTACCATATAATAAAACAATGGTAGGGGTAGGGGTCACTTACAATTTTTTCTTTATATTACTTTGCATAATGTAAGTAGTATATAAGTTGAAAGTAATATATACACTTAATTAATTGGTCACAGAAGCTCTATAATTCATAAAGTAAACACTTTTAAGAAACAAATTTAAAAAATATCCAATAATGACTCATCTACACTGTGTTCTTATGCTTCATGATGTGACTTCTCAACCAAAACAAACCCCACCATTGCTCAGATGCACTGAGAGAGATATGAAACGTCAATAAAAGTGATACAATTTTGTCATTCTGATATCCCATTTGCAAAATTTCCTTATTTTGCAATGTTTCAATCCAAATATCAGTTTTTTTAATTAATGTCTTTTTTTTTGGTTTGAGAGTATACATGTTGCAAATATTTTGAGTAAGAAAGAAAGACCACTTGAATTTGTTTTTAGACAAATAGGAATACTTTATTTGCATAATCAGTTAAACGATTACATCGTGTAGAGCATAAAATAATAATAAAGGAATAAAAGACAGCTGTACCTTAACTAACTCAAAATAAATAAAATAAAATAAAAATTAAGAAAACACATGTGGGTCATGTTCATTTTGCATAAACCATTTGAGTAACAACTAACAAACAACCAAAGTACGCGAATACAGATTTCTTGTCCCTAAATAAGACAAAATGCAACTGGTGGAAACAATCAACATATATGGAAATTTTATTCATGCATCAAGAAACTCATTCATATTCCTTCATTTTTATTTTCCAAATTGGGATAACGCAACAGAGTACGAACTTTGCATGTATGGAAAGGATTCTTTAGAACATTGATCTCTTCGATTTCAATGTGTTAGCAACACACGACAACACCGTACTTTTTACAATACAATAAGATGAGAGCATATAAATAAGATTATCCTGTCAAAAACAAGTACAAACACACAGAAGGCTGTGCGATCTATGAATCAGATCTTCATCGAATTTCTATACATTAACTAATATCAACAAAGACAAACACATAAATATGAAGAATCTTACAAATGCGCATCATATGCCATACAAAATAATGGGAATTGAGGGGCAGCTACTATACCTGATTGGGAGAGGGAGGTAGCCGGTTGAAGAGCAATGAATTACAGGAGGAAATGAATTGAGAATGAACGAAATGAAGCCCTAGAAATAGTGAGAGAGAGGGAGAAGGGAAGAGAGATAGAGAGATTGGTGAAGAGTGGTGATGGTATTTATAGAGATTGATTGGTGCAAAATAGACGTGCCAATGAAGCAAAAGTATTTCTTTAACACTCTATTGCTTCAAATTAACCTAAATTATCCTTTTTTGGTTTGGGGTAAATTTCAATATTCTGTCATTATTTTTTTTATTTGTTTCGATTTTGGTCCAGAATCAAATTAAAATACTATTTTTTGTTGTGTGGCTTCCTTTTACTTTATTTTTATTTTATATATATATTTATATATATATATATATATTTATAAAAACTAGAGATTGCATAGCCCCCGCTCCGTTGGGGGCGCAAGCAATGGTTGTTTGGTGTGTTTATGTTATTCTTTTGAAGTTTCATGATTCTACAGACGGTGAAATGGGGATGAAGAAAAGAAAATGACATAAGAGGTCCAATAGAGAAGGGAAAGTATGTATAGGGCTACAGTTAAAGTACA